GGGGGGGGTGAGTACAGCCTGTACAGCCAATCATATCTAACACCTGTGCTGAAAGATGGTTTGTATCCATCTCTCAGGTTGCAGGAGGCTGTATGTGAGAGGAACAGTCAGTGTGTAATGAAAGGGATAAAACAGGTAGAAGTTTCTGTGTGCTTGCATGGTAATGAAGTAATTACATTTCCTCTTTACATCACTGTAAGGAGACTGCAACAACAACAGAGTGTTGTGTTTGTTCCACTTCACTTGATGCATTTCAAGTATAGAGTACAGGTATGAAAATGTTTTTCTGAATCCAGTAGTCTGGATAACCCAAAACGTGATCTGGAGATTACACCCTGAAGCAGGTAATCAGTATTTTGTAATGAATTACAGTCTGAAATTCAACCCTTGACCCTCTTTAATCCGCTCGTCATTCTCCCATCTCTCCCGTATTCCGCAGCTGCACTGATAGGCAGAGTGCCAACATTTCTAAACTCCCCACAATCATTCATGGAAGTGCTTAGGAGTGTGGGAGCCAAAGGATCGGGAGCGCTTGTTTCATATTCTGGAGCATTTCATCCCCCCCAAAAGAAAACCAGATGAGTTTTCTGCTGTGCAGCAGGAGAAATAAATGTGTGACGGTTTACGGTGATCTTTTTGGCACAAAGTCAGAATATCAGAGTGAAAGGAATCAGAGGTGATTGTAAGCAAGCTGGTCTATGAAGTTCCACCCATTTTTTTAAGCTATAGCCTCTATTCCACATTCAACAGCAACATACCTGACACAGAAGCACAATGGAGTGCTGCACTGATTGAATGTTAAACAAAAAGTTCATTTGTATGTATGTTTGATGTCCAGGTGTCCAGCACAGATGTAGATAGCCATTTAACTTGAGATATGGAAAGAAACCCCAGTATCGTCTTTCAGTGTTTTAGAAAGAGTGATGAGGGTGATAAATTACACTGAGCAATATCGGAACAGAGGCTAAACCCAAAAGCGGGACAGGACTTCAGCTCTCTATATGACACTGAGGGTTTGTGTTAGGTGCATCGTCCAAATGATCTGTGTCATGTTAGATTAGCAACAGTGTCACACATGACAAATTTATTTGCTATGAAAGACAGGATGGAATAAATGAGGAAATACTGCAGTATCAAAACCAAATGACCAACTTTTCCCTGAGTCCTCACAGATAAGAAGTGGGTAAGAGTAACTGTAAGAACATCATCATCCTGAGAGTAATATGCTCTAAGCCTATAAAAGTGATACATATACAAAACTTACTTCCAGATTTCTGCCTTAGTTTGCCAATTCTGGATTTAATCAATGATAAAACCCCATCATGAAGACAATTCCTACCATATGTTTAGAGGCTCAGGAAATCTTTACAGCTGCTGCTCAAGTTATTGCCACCCTCCCACCCCCACACACCCCTTACTCGCACACGTGTGCACATACTGCAATACAATACTCACTCTGCACCTATGCAACTTTCATCATGTGAATGAAAATACTGCTTGCATATTTCTGTGTGATTCAGATCTTTGTATGCAAATGCAGGCAACTGATTGGAAACTTCCCAAAGCTTTGAACTTTGAAACAGTCTGACAGTTGCATGCTTCATTGTGGGGGGTGTGCAGGTACAGCAGATTGACAAATAAAGAGAAGACGCTGTATTGTTTGAAGAAGTTGAGCATAAGGAACCCCCCCTGTAGTCTGGACTGAGCTGGCTGCTGTGAGTGATTTGACCTCTGAACCTCTGAGCTCCTGTATGCCTCTTAGTCTGTCTTCCTGCCTGTCTGACTGCTTGTTTGTCTGCCCGTCTGCCTCTTTTTTTAAAATATCATCTGGGGATGTACAAAGACAAAGAGCTGTCACATAAAGGGAGCTTACACACACAGTGCATCAATTTACATTAGACAATCTGCAAACAGGAGGAGTTTGATCTGTAATGTGGTCTGAAATAAGGAATAAATTAACTCAAACAATTATCTTTTTCATCTGCAACAATTTAAATCTTTGTACAAGTTTCTGGCTGCGGTTGTAAGAGGAAAGATCTGCTTTCATGCTAAAAAGATTGATACTATGTGTATACGCTAAGTACAAAGCTATCGCCAGCAGCTGGGTATCTTAGCTTAACTCAAAGACTGGAAACAAAGTGAAACAGGTAGTCCAGCTCGCTAATTAACATGTTATTTGTCATTTGTTTAATCTGCATCAAAATCGAAGTTTAAAAATGACCATTCCTGGAGAATTTTTTTTAGGGATGAAGAAATAAGATGTGCTTTAGAGCCGCTGTTGGGTAGATTTTATTACCTTTGCACAGAGCCAGGCTAGCTGTTTCTGGTCTTCATGGTGAGCTAGACTAGCTGGCTCTGGCAATAGCTTCATATTTACCATAAATAAATAAGCGTGGCATCAATCTTCTCATACAACAAGAATGCTAGTAAATGTATATTTCCCAAAATGTCAAATTATTCCTTAAAGTCTCACAAGAAGGGTCTTTCAGCTTTAGTCTCTCCAGGTAGTTTTCACTCCATCATCTCATTTAATTAGCTGTCTAAAACTGCCATCAAGGCAACGTGTGTGTGAGTGTGCATATGAGAGAGTATGCTTGTGGTAAGCATATGTGCGTTTGTGTGCATGCTCTCTTATGTGATTTATGTGCATTATGTGTCTTTGTGCACTAGTATGAGTGTAAACCTGTACATTCATGTATGCGTGTGCTTGTGTGTTTTGGTCCTCATGTGTGAATAGCAAGCTGACAGCAGCTGTAAAATTCCTTTCTGAGCATCACAGAGGGGAGGCTGATGGGAGCTGACAGGGAGCAAGAGTGAAGGGAGGTGGGAGAGGAAGATGAAGGTGAGCATGGAGCAGGGGGAGACAGTGGTTGCCAGCTAGTTTGATGATTGAAGGTTTAGTCAGGCTTTGCAGAAATTCTGTCGAAGACTACTCATGCCTTTAATGTTATTGTCTTGACCTTATCGAGTGTAACGCATACACCTTGGATGTATCAGCTCAGAGTGAAACAACTGTTTCCCCTAAATATTTGCAGATGGTGCTGAAGTCTGGCTCTTGGCCAATACTGGATCTGTTCCCAGTTATCCATTTATCTATCTTACTTTGTATTTTAGAAGACTAATATTTATTTTATTTTATTTTAAATTACAACTCATGTAAACGTGTACGACGTTGTATGGAAAATCACAGTGGTATAGTTTAAAAAAAAACATGTGTAAGGTTACTATTAAACACCAGTATATTTGAAACATTCCACAATAATGATTTGGTTATTAAAGGTATACTGGTCCTGGTCCTATTTGTTTGAGTTGGACAAGAGAAACACTGTTTTCACAATTTTTACATATATATATATATATATATACATTTCCAGAGGCACATATAAGCTCCACTGAGGAGGAAGGTGGAAAAAGTGAAGTGGAAAGAAGAGCAGGGGTTGTGTCAGGGATATGCAGAAGGATGCTTTGCTATAAGATGGTACATATGGTTTGTCTTTAGCAGTGTGACTGCAGCCAAACTAGATAAAGGGTAACAATGAGCATATTACTTTACATTCTGTACCATTGCACCAAACAGTTTGACTTGAATAGACATTGTAGGCTATGTAGTATATAAGAGCGACAATAAACAACATACAAGGTCTACATCTACAACAGCAAAGAGTGCTGGAATGAATGCTGAATGGTTAATGATATAGATTACCTTATTTACATATATACAGTTTATGCATGCATACATGTCTGTATAATGTGCTTAGATTCATATGACATATAACAATGATGGTGATGGTGATATGTACATAACTCCACAACAAACAAAAACAATGAGTAGCTTGTAGGTAACATTACAGTGTTTAATGAACCAGTGAGTAGGATTTAGTGGAATGTAGAGGTGTAGTTGCAGATTATGACCCCATTGCCTTACCCTCCTGTGTGCCTCTTTTCAGTACTAAACAAGGTGATTTAAAACAATATTACTGAAGGTATGGACCCCTCATAAATTAGGTCAGTTCTATTTGTGGGTTACAACAGCAATCAGTAAAATCATGCAGACTTGGTAGTCTCAGTTATTTGGCACAAAAAAGCAGAGTGTTGGTTCACCAGCACTCCATTGGAAAGTTTGCACTTGGAATATGTTACTGTACTGCTTCACCCCTCCCTTTCACATAGCTTCCACTGAACTAGATAATGTATTGGACATGGCTGAGTGACCCAAGCATTAGTCTTCATAATAACCACTGATTAGTGAAGTTATTGTGCTGATGTCAGTGCTCTACATCAGCTGGCACGAGAAGTGTTGCAGTGTGGGAGGTCTTGTTCTGACTCTGTTTTATGATGTGAGCAGTGGTAGGTCACATTGGGGCATGATACTGGAGGAAGCTGACATATTCCTGATTAATCTGATTTATAGTGGTAATCATCATGTTGATCTATTGCTGTCCAAGTGGTGGTTTAGGCTATTAATCAATCAGTTGCATATTATTTTCGGCAACAAGTGTCCTATCAAAACACTGGTTACGCTTTGAGTGCATTAAGTTTTTTAATTACAACACTAGCGGAGTTAATGGTTTAGGTCACAGATTCCTCCTTGTAAGTAATTAAGATAATTATGTTATATTTTACTTTTATTTTAAGAGATAAACCACTGAAACTCATAACTGCAACTTACATACACAGCTTTTTTCT